AATTTGTGAGTTAAAGTGATTGTAGAGATCTCTAAAGCCTTACACCATACATTTGCTTGGTATGGTGTTTGTGATGTCCCATGCTCCTACAGATAAACACTACTACTGTTTCTGCATTAATTTTGCTAAAATAAGCTTTTTCTTCTCTTTCTCTCTCTCTCTCCCCCACCCCCTTTCCTTTTTTCCTCCTCTCCCCTTCCCCTTTCCATCTCCTTCTCCTTCCTTCCTTTCTTCCTTCCTTCCCCACCTCCATCTCCCTCCCTCCCTCCCTCCCATCTCCTCCAATATACTAGGGTTGGATATCAGGGTCATATTTATATTCATTTAAAGGCAATTTGAAAATGTGCCATTTCTAACATGCTCAAGTGTGTGAACTAAGATCCATATCCTTTAGCTGGGTGTGGTAGCACACATCTGTAGTTCCAGCTACTTGGAAGGCTGAGGCGGAAGGATCGCCTGAGCCCAGCAGGTCAAGGCTGTGGTAGCCAGGAGCATGCCACTGCACTCCAGATTGGGCGACAGAATGAGACACCAACTCAAAAAAAAAACAAAAAACATCCATATCTGTTTGGTAGGCCTCTTATTCAAAGTTTCAATAACAAATCCTTATTTCCTTTTGGAGTATTTCATGAATATCATAAGCTGTTTCACAACTGTCCACTGAATGGAATGAGTCCTCAGGAATTGATCTGGTTGGCTGGGCTGTAAATCTCACAGAGTACATGAGGATGAGATGTCCCAAGCCTGCCCATCTGGTCACCCACCAATCACAAATGCAAAATATGAATTCATTTTAGCCATTTGATACCAGGAATTTGCCAACCTAAATGAAACATTCACAAAGACACAAAGTCCAAGGAGTACTGTCTTCAATGAACACACATTTATTGAGTAACTTCTATGTGCTACACACCAGTTAGAGAGATCAGATAATTAGGGTCAGTAATCAATGGGATGCATCTCCTCCTATTCCCTATCAATGAAAAGACCCCCTCTCAATGAAAAGAGACCGGAATTTGAGGAAGAATAATCAACACTTGAGGGGTCTAGCTAGTTATCACATGATGGTGTGATGGTCGCAATGTAGCCAGCCTAGAGCCTAGCCTGGTTTCTACTACTTTGACAAACATACCGACTAGACAGCTAAAAGCATATTCAGATAAATGACTTACTAGCACCCATTCCAAGGAGGGATGATGATAGTAGTAGGAACTAGTCCATTATTTTAAGTATTTTTATCTGGGGTATAATAAAACATATTTTTATGTTTACTTGCAATTTGAAATTCTTCTTAAAATTATCCTATTTGTATCTATGGCCCATTTCCCTAGTCTCTTATAACTTGTTTAAAAAAAAAAAAAAAACTTTACTGTCTGGCACAGTGGCTCATGCCTGTAATCCCATCACTTTGGGAGGCAGAGGAGAGGATTGCCTGAGCCCAAGAGTTCAAGACTAGCCTGGGCAACATGATGAGACCATGTCTCTACAATACATAAAAAGATTCGCCGGGCGTGGCGGCATGTACCTGTAGTCCCAGCTACTTGGAGGGTTGAGGCTGAAGGATCAGCAGGTGGAGGCTGTGGAAGCCATGATCCTTCCACTCCATTCCAGCCTGGTGACAGAGTGAGACGGACTCAAAAAAAAAAAAAAACCCCTTTACATTTTATTTTTTAAAGGGGTTTTTTTTTTTTTTGAGTCCGTCGCCCAGGCCAGAGTATAGTGGCAAGCTCATGGCCACCACAGCCTCTACCCGCTGGGCTCAGGCGATCCTTCTGCCTCAGCCTTCCAAGTAGCCGGAATTACAGGCATGCACTACCACGCCCGGCTGATTTTTTGATTTATTGTACAGACGAGGTCTCGCTGCCCAGGTGGGTCTCGAACCCGCAGGCTCAGGCAATCCACTCACCTCAGCCTCCCAAAGGTGCGGGATTACAGGCTGAACCACCGAGCCCAGCTAATCTATAGTTTCATTTATCAAATGTGAATCTTTAATCCATTTGGAATATACTTGTACTTTGAAATAAATTATAATGCAAAAAATCTAACATTCTCCTCCAAATATTTGACTATCCCATTCTTTAACTAATTCAAATGTTCCCTCTAACATATGTAATAATTTAAATACATATACACATATATAGATATTTCCATTCTGTTCCTCTATTTTGGTATCCAAAATAAACTTTTAAGGAGTACTATTTTATTTTATTTATTTATTTATTTTTTGAGTTGGAGTCTCACTCCGTCGCCCAGACTGGAGTGCAGTAGCCGCTCCTGGCCACAGCAGCCTCGACCTGCTGAGCTCCGGCGATCCTTCCGCCTCAGCCTTCCAAGTAGCTGGAACTACAGGTGCGCGTTACCACGCCCGGCTAATTTTTTGATTTATTGTAGAGATGAGGTCTCGCCAAGTTGCCCAGGCGGGTCTCGAACCCACAGGCTCTGGCAATCCACTAACCTCAGCCTCCCAAAGCACTGGGATTACAGGCTGAGCCACCGAGCCCGGCTAGGAGTACTATTTTAATAACAAATTTAAGTATGTGGGAACTACTTACTTTTGTTTCAGAATTTTCCTATTTCACATATTTTTCCATAAAGTCATTTAAAAATAAACTGGTATTATTAGGCTTGAACTTCCTTTGTATTAATATATCAATTTGGGGATAAAAATACTTAGAGAACTATACCTACAATCCGATTCCAAATTGTAAAAAAAAGTGTGATTTTTTATTACAAAAATATATGTATATACATAATAAAATATATGTATATACATATACATAACTATTTCAGGTATGTGTGTGCTAGATATCTCTCACTTATTCCCCACCCTCCATCTACTTTTCTCCCTGCTGCATCCTCCAGGTTTACCAATATAGACTATACATCAAAGGTCTTCTTTGCCCTCCAGCTTCCAGTTTAGCCAAAGGGAAATATACAGCAGGAGACAGAAGGGAAGAGAATGAGATCAGGTATTTCTCTCTCATTACCATTCCATCTCGTCTTTTCAGGGTCTCTGTGAGCTGACTGCTTCCGGAAGATTCAGTTGCTGTCAGGCAGCCCTTTCCACACAGTTGTATACCATTTCAGTAGCCCCCACTTCTTCCATACCCTTGCTCCTCCCCCTCTCGCTGCTCCTCCTCTCCTTTCCTCCTCTTCCTCCCTACTCCCTGCTCCTCCTCCCCTTCCCCTTCTCCTTCTTCTCTCTCCCTCCCCAAGCTCCTCCCTTTCCCCCTCCTCCTCCCTGTTCTTCCTCCTTCCCATATCTCTCCCTGTTCCCCCTCCCTCTCCCTCCCCCTCTCACTCTCCTTTGCCTAGAGGTAGAGCCTAAACTGTACCCCCCACCCACTCATATGTTGGAGTCCTAACCCCCACTACCTCAGAATGTGACTGTATTTGGAAACAGGGCTTTTTTTTTTTTTTTTTGAGCTGGAGTCTCACTCTATTGCCTAGGCTGGAGGGCAGTGCCAGGCTCACGGCCACTGCAGCCTTGACCTGCTGGGCTCTGGAGATCCTTTCCACCTCAACCTTCCAAGTAGCTGGAACTATAGGCACATGCCACCATGCCAACTAATTTTTTGATTTATTGTAGAGATGAGGTCTTGCCAAGTTGCCCAGGCTGGTCTCGAACCTGTGAGCTCAGGCAATCCTTTCACCTAAGCCTTCCAAAGTGCTGGGATTATAGCCACCGGGCATGGCTGGAAACAGGGTCTTTACAAAGATAATTAAGTTAAAATGAGTTAACTGGTAGAGATCCTCATCTAATGACTGGTGTCCTTATAAGAGATTAGGAAACAGATATAGAGGAAAAGACTACATGAAGACACAGAGAGGACACAGCCATTTATAAACCAGAAAGAAAAGCCTCAAAGAAATAAAATCTGCCAACACTTTGATCTGACTTCTTGCCTCCAGAACTGTGAGAAAATACATTTTTGTTGCTTATGCCACTCAGTCTGTGGCACTTTGTTATGGCAGACCGAGTTGACTAATATATGCCACAACCCTACACCTCTGCTGACAACTCAGGAAAAAAAGTATTAAAAAAAAATCATCCATTTTGAGTCCCATTTATTCTTGCTGAGACCCTAATTCAGTAGGATTGATTATCTCCATATTTGTTCTTACTATATTTTCTGAAATTTCTACAATAACCACAGAATCTTTTTTTCTTTTTTTTTTTTTTGGCTAAAAACATAGAAAACACTATCATGGAAAAAAATGGATTTCACTGGGAAATATCCATGTAAGGTGGATTTATAAGCACAGGCATCCAACATGCTTCCTCTGGTGAGAAAGAACAAAGCGTTGCATAAGTGTAACAAACAGCTGAGTACCCACTAATGTCCAAATTAATGGGGGCAAGGAGCATCAGGAACAAAACTCACTGTTAGAAGCACTGGCTGGGCTTGGTGGCTCAACCTGTAATCCCAGCACTTTGGGAGGACAAGGCAAGTGGATTGACTGAGCCTACAGGGTCGAGACCAGCCTGGGCAATTTGGTGAGACCTTGTCTCTACAATAAAATAAAAAATTAGTCGGGTGTGGTAGCACACACCTGTAGTTCCAGCTACTTGGAAGGCTGAGGTGGAAGGATCGCCGGAGCCCAGCAGGTCGACGCTGGGGTGGCCATGAGTGTGCCACCATACTCCAGCCTGGACGACAGAGTAAGACTCTGAAAAAAAAAACAAAACAAAAAAAAACTGCAGCAGCACTAGGGCAACCCCCTTGGGTCCCTTCCCACTGTGGGAGCTTTTCTGTCCTCTCAATAAATCCTGCTTAAAAAAAAAAAAAGCAGCAGCACTAGAGACTTATGCACCCTGAGAAGCCACACTGAGGGGAGAGGAGAGGAAAGGGCCTGACAGGGCATACTTCTGGCCGCCATACCAAATAGGGAAAGGAATTCTTTTACTTGGAATTAGAACTTTTTTATATCACCTAGATCCTTCCTGAGCCTGCTGAGTTTGTCAGCCTCAGTAACAAGAAAGGCACACTGCAAATTACTTGCTTTGAAATTTAGAAACAAATTTTATTTAAGATCTGAAATACAATTCCTAAAATATCAACTTTTCCAGAAAACCGTGGCTACACAATAATGCATTGCCTCTATCATGTTAGAACGTGCATTAGACTCAAATACAAAAACCATGAAACAAACCACCATCCTTCCACAATTTGAGCAAAGATAGAATGCCTAAGGAACAACATAGATGGACTTGCAGAGGATGGGCTGTTTTACTTCAAGCACCATAAAAAAAAAAAAGAGCACAAATGCATGGGTTTTCAGGTATATACATTAAGTCGAACCTTTGGCACTAGGAATCAGGGCGTTTTTTTGTCACATAGCATTAACACATATTAGAAAATTGTGTAGTGTCAAAGGGATAGAACCACCAGCATTCAAGCAATGTTGTCAACTAGGCGATAAAATGTTCTACTGAATGTTTCTTCGTCTAATTACTGCGTACACTGGTAGCAACTTTGAAATGAGAAAAAGGAGCTTACACTCCTTTTATTTTCTGTTTAAAACGGAACAGAAAACAAACTGAAACATAAGCCCTGTTATACATTAACAATTTTAAAGAACATCAATTTTACAAGAAAAAGACTAAGAACAGATGTTTACAGATACCAGACAGATAATGGTGAGTGGTCAGGAGACCCTCACAGGGCTTTGCGGTGGTACTCAGCAGAAGCCACTTTGTAATCACTGGCAGTAAATAGAGATGCAGAATTCTTTGCCAGATATTTTAGGAAATCATGCAAATAGCCCAACAGTAATGCAAGGCTCTTCTCATCAAGGGGTGTATAGGCCAACATTGCTCCAATTCTGACAAATAATCTCAGTAGGTGTGGCGCTCCATAAACCTGGGACATTGGCGCATCAGGGTGGGCCAAGAGAATTTCAGCATACTGGGGCCTCTCAAATTTGTAGAGCAGCTGAGTGCCCAACATCACATTGAAATATTCTTTTATTCCTGCCACAACTTCATTAACGGCATATTCCTTATTATCAACATTTCCCTGCGATTTCTTGCAATTTGCATATTCTTCCAGAATAGCATCTACATTTTTCTTAGCAGGAAGTTGAAACAGCTGCTTCTGCCTGGTAACTAAGTCCCAGTCCTCAACAAGCCATGGTTTTAATTCTTCAGGAATCTTCACTTTAACTTCCATTCTATTCTTAAATGCCTCCTCACTTTCAACAGTAGGGTCTGCCCGTGCCCTTTTCTTGCGAGGGGGCTGAGGTGCTTCGCTGGTACTGCCACCATCTCCGTTTCCAGGAGTCTTCTGTTTGTTCTTTCTGGTCTTCCTCACGGATCCTGAAGGGGGGTTCTCTGCAGAGCGACCCCCCCATCTTCCTGGGAGAGCTGACTCAAGACTTTTCTGCTGTGGACCAGTGGTCTTCTTTCCTGAGGAGGCCCCTCTCATCTTACTTCTCTGCATGTTGCTTCTAGTTGGTTTTTTGAAGTTGTCTTCTTCTGCAGATTGTTGTCCACGAGTTTGAGAACCCTGCTTTCTGGAACTCATTCAACCCTGTTTTTATTCCAACCACTGTAATATATAAAGCATTTTACTTGGTTGTGACCTTTAGCTATGCTTCATAAAGGCCCATCAGAGCACAACACACTCTAACTCTCTTGGAATTTAGATTTCAAAATCCTTTACAAGTGATTTTTTTTACCTCCTCTTCCTCTTTCTAATCTTCACTACCCACCACTACTCTTACCCCATCCACTCATCAGAACTGCCCATAAATTAGTTTTTTGATGCCATTCAAAAGATAGGAATGTAATCTTAGATAAGGAAGGAATTAAATGAGAAACTATAAAAGGCAGTGGAGTTGAAATAGAAGACTTTTGCACAGAAAGAATGACAATATGAAAGAAATGGGGAAGATTAAACTTAGTTGACTTGGGCAAAATGAGTAACGGTAAACATTTTTGTATAAGTCCAGATAGGCCCGAATGAGGGTGATGACAGAGTCAAGAGAAATGGAATACAGAACTTACATTGAAGAATACAGTAACTGAAGGAGAGGGAGGAGTCTAAGTGGGATCTGCAATTTCAAGTCTAGGTAATTAATGAATATAAGCACTGATTTTTATGGGCTAGTTTGGAATCAGCAATAAAATGATAGAACATAGGTAATTTATCCATTCATTAATCTCTTCAGTTAGTCATCATACATGACTGCATATCTGCTTTGGGACAGGTACTATGGTAGGTGCTAGGTATTCAAATGTCTAAAGTGACAATTACAAAATGAGGTTAATATAATGATATAGGCACAGAATATTTGGGGAGCAGACAATAAATGGTACATGATACTACCTTCAGTGAGTGAGTGTTGGAGGTGAAAAACTGGTGAGGAGTCACTGATGACTCCCAGGTTTTGAGGATGGGTGATTGGATTATTAGCATTACCATCAAATGAGACTGCATCTACAGGAGAAAATGGATTAGAGGGGAAAGAAGTTAAGTATTGAACCTATAGTGAGCAAGGTGTGCAGTTAAATAGTACTTTAAAGCTCAGGCGAAGGGTCAGAGCCAGAAACGGGGATCTGAGAATAATCATAATATAGCTGGTAGTGGACACTATGAGAGCCAATGAAATAATTCAGGGAGAACAGAGTTCTTCTAATAGAAGAGGAAGAAGTTCAAGTATGGAATTCTGAAAAACCTAAGGAAGATATTTAAGGGGTGAGCAGAGAAAAGAGACCAACAAATGAAATAAAAATGTTAAGAGTAGTCATAGGAGAATTATGTGAATGCTATCTTTAAAGTCAAAGAAGTTGAGAGTTTCAAGAAGGAAAAGGGATAATCTACAGTTTAAAATGTAGCAGAGAGAACTAGTAAGGTAAGGATGCAAAATGGTCTATTATTCTTATGGTATGACAAATGAAACAATTCCTTTGACTTACACAATCTTTCTTCTTTCTTTTCTAAGAATTCTTAGTGATTTACCAGGTGGAATCTTATAGATCTTCTGGGATGGTCTGGAAGATGTGGGAGACACAACCTAGAAAGAAAAGCAAGTATCTGCAATGAAGATGAATTTTGTGAACTCATATAAGGAAAAATAATTTATAAACATGTGGTTTACAATTGTGGTATCAGAGAAAATATGTAAGTTCTGCTGTCAGATAGACCTCTACTTCACTTAGGCTCCACCATTTTTTAGTCGTGAGGTCTCAGGCAAGACATGTAAGCTCTTTAATCTGTTTTGGTGTTGTTGTTTTTAATCTGTGGAATATGGAAGATTATCCATAGCCTTCACAGGCTCTTGTGAGAACTTCATACATGTGATGTTGCTGAGCACCTAGCACAGGAATACCTGCACATGTGAAAGTGGATACAAAGATGTTCTCTGCAGTGGTGTTTGTAATACTTAAGAACTGGAAACACCTACATATTCTTCAATAGGGAAATGGTAATATGTTACATATGCACACTACAGAACACTCAAATGAATAAGGAGAGATCCATGTATTAACATGGAAAGGTGTTCAATACATATTACTAGGTAAATAGCCAGGTTGCACATTATAAGATTCCAAAGTGAGAGATAGCACAGGTGGGGAAATAAGTATGTCTCAGATAGTTTTTATGAACATAATTTCATTTCTGTGTGTTTTAAACAGGTGTATATAAACTTCTAGGGAAATATTTAGACAGATAAACAGCAGCCTGTTAAAATCGAGGTAACTGCTGAGAAAGGGATGATGGTAGACTAGTCTTTTTTTTTTTTTTTTACTGTCTGTGTGTTGATTTGGTAAATCCACTCTGCTTGTTAGACTAGTCTTAAATCAGGTTTCTCTGGCACTGTAAATACAACTTTTACCCACCCATCAGCCCATCTCTAGTCCTTAAGACTATGTGGACAGGCATCAGGAAAGCCCTGAGGGGGGAAATCAAAGGTAAGAATGCCTGAAGACCAGAGCCCTGAATCAGGAAAACCAGTTACTAGAAAGAGAAGCTGGGGTGCTATTATTTTCACTAGGTAAACAATATCCTGAAAGGTCACAATCTCTAAACAGAAATTACAGAGCAAAACAAGTCTTCAGAGAGCATCAAAATCTGTGAATGTATAGACTGACGCTGTGGAAATCACAAACCTAGCTGAGACAAAGGCATATTCTGGAAAGTATCCATGTGTGTCATGGCATTAGATTGTAAGCTATCATGCTTTAAAAATGTTTAATTTTTTAAAAAGTAATTTATTGTGAATGAGACAGAAGGGATACAGTATCTGAGGATATCAGAGAATTTAGTTAATACAGGTTGAGCACCCCTATCTGAAATGCTTGGGACTATTGTTTGGAATATTGTATATTTGGAAAAACATGAGATTATCTCATTATGTTGGTGGATGGGACCCCAATCAAAACACAAAATTTATTTATATTTCATATACACCTTATACAGTCTGAAGGTAATCTTATGCAATATTTAAAATTTTTTGCACTTGTCACATGAAGTCAGATGTGGAGTTTTCCACTTAAGGGTGTCACGATGGCATTCAATAAGTGTCGGATTTTGGAGCATTTCAGATTAGGGATGCTCAACTAGTACAAGTAAAATCCAGAAAGCCTATCTTGGGGGCTCATTCCATAAAACAAAGGGATAATAGTTAAAATATCAACTAAAGAAAGTAACATGGCTGGGTGTGGTGGCTTACACCTGTAATCCCAGCACTTTGAGAGGCGGAGGCAAGAGGACTGCCTGAGCCCAGGGGTTTGAGACCAGCCTGGGCAACTTGGCGAGACCCCGTCTCTACAATAAATTAAAAAAATTAGCCGGGCGTGGTGGTGCACATCTGTAGTTCCAGTTACTTGGAAGGCTGAAGCAGAAAGGATCCAGCAGGTCGAGGCTACAGTGGCCGTGTGTGTGCATGGCACAGCACTCCAGCCTGGGCAGAGTGAGACTCTGACTACCCCCCCCCCCCAAAAAAAAAGGAACACTGCCCTAGTGCAAACCAGATTCTACAAGACACTGAAGAGCCAGCCTGGACAAAAATCAGCAATTCCTTAGTGTGGAGGAACTTGAGAATGTAGCTGAACATAGTATATCCTTGGTATTGACTGTATACATTCATGCATAAGAAACCTACAAAAAAATAATTCTATGTGGTTCTCATTACGGTGGATGTTTAATCATTTTCTAAAATTTTTTTATCATTGATAAATTTGATATAAAGTCCTAAGTTAAATGAAACGTTCACCCTACAGAACCACTTACTGCTACAGAAAACAAAAAAAAAAAACAAAACCCTGCACCATGTCAAGGCTTGTATGTCCAAAATGAATAAAGTCAGGGAAATAGTCTTTCTAAAGAACTGCCTCAATAACTTTTATTTCTATCGGGGTGCCCTACACATCAAGCAAGCAACCTCTACTACCTGGGAGTCAGGAGCCAGACATCAAAAGGGAATACATCCTTTCGCTATCTGGCTCCCATTGGTGGTAGTAGCAGCTTTACGACTGTCACTGTACTTCTCTCTCCCTTCCCAGCAGCTTAACACTGCTCCATGGATCTGTGGCATGTGTTGGGGACACTCACTTAAAAAGCTGGCATCATTACTTTTATGTTGAGTTGCTTTAAACTGTGAACCTGCCAGTTTCTATCATGAATTTCACATTTTCATTAACATTGTTTACTCAGCATACTGATTCTCTGCTCCAAATAGACTTCCTTTTTGTCCCTCATTTAAATATCAGGAAAATCAAGTCCCATCTCCTCTTTAAAAAATCTTCCACAACTACTCTGGCCCATGTTTCTCTCCCATCTCCAATACCATATGAAATTGACAGTACTCTAAAGCTTAGTATTTAATTATTTAAATGTTTCATGTATTAGTGTTGTTTATGGAATGCCATTATCCATTTATACCTATCTTGCATCTTTCACAGCAGCACTTAGGTCCCTGGTTGGTATACAACTGTGAATCAAAGGGCAAGTAATTCAACATATGGAGAAAACGGGTGTGAAATAGGGACAACAGTCATCGACTATTTTCTCACCTGTTCCCTAAAGATCAGTCAGAAACTGAGTAAACACATTTGAATGTTTGTCTTAATTTTTATCTTTAATTTTGTAAGTTTCCTTAACCTGTATAAATACATTTAAACTGAGGTGAGTTATGCTTGTTATCAAACCTTAGATCTCTCCTTTTTTAAAAATTTACTATTACAACTGATCTTTTTCCCAGGTTAAGGTTATAATATGCATGTTTTGAGCTGTGATATCCATCAAATGAGCATGCTTTACTTAACCACTCCTAGAAATATCCAATGTGTTCCTCCCACAATTTATTATTTAATAACCAACTACTAAGACATTTTGCTTCAACACTTTTTGCCCTCATTTCCCATTATTCCCTTAAGATTCCCAGAAGTGGATATAGTGGATCAAGATGCTTAGAACTTTTAAGGCTTTTAATACCTTGCCAAATTATTCCCCCACACATACACTCATCAAATGGCACCAATTTCCAAACCCACAAGCAGTATAAAATGTTCATCATGCCTCATGCTCGGGCAAGCACTGGAGATCTTCATTTTAAAATATTTGTAAATTTGGTAAAGAAAATTGGTTTGAGTTTTTCAGTTTGTATCAGTGACATTTTAACATTCTAAAAATGTGTCTGCTGGCCGCTTATATTTCAGTTCTTGTCCTTTGCCCATTAATTTTGAGTTAGTTCTTAGTGATTTTAACACCAGGAGCTCTTTATTTATTAACAGCTGTAATTTTTTTGGCAAATATTTCCCCTAGGGTGTTATTTTAATGTCTGATGCTAAGATTTTAAAAGCTTAATATGATCAGTCGTGTAGTTTTTCCTTCTAAGTTTAAAAATTAAGGCCTATTTTATAGATTTTATATTTTAATTCCTTAACCCATCTAGAATTTGTAAGTTATAAACTGATGACCCACCTCAAGTGACACCACTTGTATTTGTACATTTATAAATACCAACTACATAAAGTTAACAGGCATTCTCTTACCGCCTCCCTCCCATCCCATCCCAATGTCAGGAGTATGTCTTCTAATCTTTTGATGTACACAATCACACAAATAAAAGATATAACTTTAAAATTCAATGTGTATATTATATACATAATGTATGTGAAAGAACATATAACATGCACGTACTTAGTTTTGACAAAGATGGATACTGCTCTGCACCCTGCTTTTCTCACTTATCATGGGCATCTTTCCATGTCAGTACATACCTACCTGTTCTTTTCCATGTCCACATTGCATTCTATAGTCTGTCACATACTGTAATTTAACCAGTTTCATATTAATGAATAGACTGTTCCTAACAGTTCATTATTGCAAAAATGCTGCAATACACATCAGTGTATAAATATATCAGAATATTACTATCTCCAAAGGACACATTCTAAGAGGAAATATTTAGCAAAAGGATTTGCTTATTTATAACTTTGATATCAGAGATTGAACCAAATTCACCTTAGAAAGAACTGTTTTAACTTTGACTCCCAGCAAAACTATTCATTATTCCATACCTTCAACAACACTGGATAAATATCTTTAAAAGGGGGGGTTGTTTGGGGCCAATCTAACATGTAATAAGATATTTTCATTTGAATTTGTGTGATATAGCTTTTATACGTTGGAAATATTTTTCCACTTTTTAAAGTGTGTCTTATGATGTCTTACCATAAGTCTGTGTGTGTGTGCATGTGCTTATCTCAATATCACAAATATGTCAGTTTTTTTCCTTTGTGATCTTGGCTTTTATGTCATGCTTAGGGAAAATCTCCCAAACCAATATTGTTAGTGATTTCCTTTACTTTTTTTCTTTTTAAGTGGTACACTTAACCTTTTTAAAAAAATATTTTTATAGAGACAGAGTCTCACTATGTTGTCCAGGCTGGTATCAAACTCATTGGCTCAAGTGATCCTCTTGCCTTGACCTCCCAAAGTGCGGGAAGCCACCATGATCAGCCCTCCTCTATTATTTATTGGTTATTTTTTATAGTGTTTCCCAAATATATAACTAGCTTTTCCTAATATTTATTACTGAAGAGTCAGTCCATCCTTTCCCCACTGATTTAAATGCTATTTTATAACATTCTAAATTCCCAGAGGTATATGGGTCTTTTTAGGTAGTTATCTTTCCAATGATTTTTGATCATTTTTTATTTTTTTGTGACAAGGTCTCATTGTGTCACCCAGGCTAGAATGCAGTGGCACGTTCATAGCTCACTGCAACCTCAAACTCCTGAGCAGTGATCCTCCTGTTTTGGCTTCCCAAAGTCTGGGATTACAGGCATGAGCCACCATGCCCAGCCGTTAATCATTTAATTTTTAAAGCCTATCTCTAGGCTATCTGTTCTGTCACAGTGGTATGTCTGATTGATGCAGTGTTATTTGAAGTAGCAAAACACTGGAGTCAACCTGAAAGGCTGTCAATAGTGATTTGGCAAAATAAAATGTGGTACATCCATAATATGGAATATCATGCTAGTTAAAGGAATGCCACTGTGAAAGGAATCAGACAGAACTCTGTGAATGGAGATGAAGTCATCCAAGACAATTTGTTGAATAAAAAGTCAGGCGAAAAAATATTTCTATAGTGTGATACCATATATGTATAAAGAAAAACACAAAACAGTATTTTATATATATCCATATACATTTTTTTGACAGGTACATAATTTAGTAATCTAGAAGGAAATAGAACAAACTGGTAAGAATGGTTAACTCTAGGGAGAGTAAGAGAATTGGGGGTGGTGACAAAAGGAAACCCGAGTTTACTCTGCAATGTTTAAATTTTTTAGAAGGAGATTGTATTCACATATCAATTATGTGATTAAAATTCATAATAAAATACATGTATTTTAAATTAACAAAATTTCGGATCTACTCTTATCCATGGATCTCACATATGGCCCAATTTTTCAGTTAATCATCACTGCATATTATATACTTTATAGGCATACCATTCAGACTGGACTCCCTCCCTTCTTCTAGGTTCTGCCCATTCTCTGAAGCCCAGGTCAAGGTCCTTTTCCTCCTTGAGGCTTTCTCTATTTTAGGTCACTCTAGCCCTTGCTTTCTCTGAGCTTCAATTGGCCCAACAGTCCACCTTCCTACCTTTAGCCTTTAATCATTCTCTAAATGGCCTCATGTAAAGGTGCCTACCCATTTAGTGCATCTCTTCCATCAGGGCAGTGCCTTCCTCTGAAACCTAGCTTTCAGAAGGGAGAAAAATAAGAAGGAAAATACAGTGACTCCATGAGAAAATACAGCTATCAAGAGACTGAAAAGCCTTCCTTCATCTTCTCATGCAAGAAATGGACCATTTGGGAATCATATTCCAAATGTTAACATTTTTTGTGTATGCCTGTGCCATACAGAAGTGTGAATAACATCTCTTACAGTTTGTTGGACTAAACCCTTACATTTACATATACCATGTCAATTACATTCATGTAAATTTTCTCTTGGATCTTGAAATATTTATTTTTTTAAGTTTTTTTTTAGTCTGAGATAAAGAGGTAAGGATATAAAAGTTATTAGCAGATACGGTTTGGTTAGCTAAAATTATAGCTCCTAGAAATTCTCTCATAAATAAATATAATCAATATACTTAAAACCTTTCTAGATTGTTAGAACAAGTCAGAAGTCATAATTTCAGAATTCAGCTCTAGTGGTAACTGCTGCTTCTGGAAAATGAGGAGAGAAACCAACAGTATTATTTTTTTTTTACAATTCTAAAAAGAGATAACCACTGCTTTTACAAACAGAAATTTAAGTGTATGAGAAAAACAGGATGTATCAGGAAAAGCAAGAGCCATAGTTATTATTAAAGCAAGCACTTAAACATGATACGCATTGTCCTGGTACTTTACATGCTACCCTTTCAACAATCCTAGGAAGTAGGAACTATTAGTATCATCTCAATTTTATATATAAGGAAACTTGGGTATAAAGCGAGTAAATAAGTGGTAGAGCCAGGATTTAAATTTAAAAGTCAGTACTTGCTCTTAACCACAAAACTATGCTGCAAATGGATGCTCCAAAGAAAAAACAATATATGGATCTGTGGAACTACTACAGGGGATCAACTGTAATATTAACTGTAATATCTTCATCAAGGGATGTAAGATTACACAGCCCTCTGTTGCTTATGCACTTTTTACACTGGAAGCACCAATGAATTTAGCTCCATCCTTCCCTTCTCAGAATTTAGAGTACCTTCTCAAATAGGAGCTTATCAATCTTCAAAATATTCCTGAATAGTTAGGAAGGTTATGTGGTATTATCTTGTTTTTGAAAATTGAAGCCGGGAGAAGGGAGACACTTACCCAAGATTTCTGCAATCAGGATCAGATCTCCTGATCCTTACTCTACTGCAAACTTAGCTTTTCTGATGGTGACCTAGAAGGTCAAACAAAAGGACAGAAAAGGACATAAAAATAAAAAGATATGAGATGATAGCTTTCTTCTCCATCAGTCAATGCAATTTTATCACACACAAAGGACATCAAAACCGATAAATAATGTACAAGTGTTTATTTTTCCTTTCTTGTGGCTATTCTCAAATTTAATTTATTGAACATCTATTTCATTTTTGACAAATTAATTTTCCTTTTTTTAGCTTTTTATTAGGAGTAATTACAAATAAATAAAATTTAGACGGAATAGTATTATAAACCCACACGAATCCATCAGCCAGCTTCAACAATTACCAACTGAAGGCCATCTTGTTTTATCTATAACCCCACCCACTGCTCCCCCACCCCCTTTTTCAAGCTCACCGAATAGCTGACTTGTGTACTCTATTACGGAAAATTTCAAACATACTAAGGAAATCAAATTAATATAAGGAACGCCATATGCCTATCACGCAGTTTAAGCAATTATTTAGGGCCAATTTTGCTTCCTATACATCCCTTCCCACCGCTGATACTGTTTTGAAGCAAATCCTAGTTATCAACGTATTTTGAAGCCCAGATATTATATTATTTAGTGCGTAAACATTTTCACAGACGTCTCTACCAAAAAAGGCAATTTAAAAACATAACCACAATACCACTATAACGCCTAAAATTTGCTATCAATTCCTTAAAAAACATTAAATATCGAATTCGTGTTCAAATTTTCCCGACGCATCTTAAACATATTTTACAGTTGGTGTGTTCGAGTCAGAATCCAAACAAGGCCTACTCATCGCATGTGGTTTACCTCCTGCTCGCCCTCGTTCTCCATCCCTTTCTTTCTCGCCCCCCCCTTCCTTTTTAACTTTTCAATATAGGAAAATTCCAATCTCTGATATTTTTAGGCAATTTTCAGGGAGCAAATTATTTCATCGACAAGGATTTATTTTTTATAGCTAATTTCCTTTATAAGAGAAGTTAGTGGGCAGAAAAGGCACTATCATGAGCAAGTCTACCTAATTTATATTTTTTTCTCATTCTATTACGCGCATATTTAACTCCATTAACAATAGCTAATGTCTTCAGGAGCCAGGCTTTCTGCTAACGCCTCATACGCACTATTATATAGCACACGTATCTGAGTACACGTCTCTGAGGTAGATACTATTATTATCACCATTTTACAAACATGGAAACCGAGACACAGAAAGAAGATGAGCCTTGCCCGGGCTGGGCGTTGGCGAGCAAGAATTTGAATCCAGCTCTGCCCGATTGTGAAGGCACTAGCTAATCCTGTCTATACAAGACGAAAAGAGAAAATCATCGACCCTTTCTCCCCACCCCCACCCCGAAACCTGAAACGAGAATCCAGTTCTTCCCAGCAGCCGACGTGTGATCACTGCCGTCCCTCCAACCGCCATAGTAAAGCCAGGTTTCTCTGGCAACTGATATCCATAGGCAGACACGTCACCCTGGAGGCGGGCGTATGCCCTTCAGCCAATCACAATCGTCTTGTCTAAGTTTTAGAATGTTCCATAATCGAATGATTGGACGACCACCCCCACGTCAGCAATGACACTTCGCCGCAGTAAAGGCGGGTGCTAGCAACCTGCTTCTTCACGGTTAAGGCCTAAAGCAAACCAATCTTCTTCCTCCTTTAGTGCAGATTCCAGCCAATGACGTTCGCCCTTTTAGGTTCTTGGCCCACCCTCCAAAAGCGCTACAGTCGTTGGGTCAGAAGTCTATAGGGCAGAATGTTCACGTGGCCCATTTTCACGACCCAGAGTTCCCTGACCAGTGCTTTTTTTTTTTTTTCCCCCCCCCCTTCTTCTTCTTCTTTTTTTTTTTTTTTCTGCAGGGAGGCATTATGGGTTTGTGTGTTTTTTTACCCCACTGGGAGAGGAAGTGTCTACGTGGCCTGCGGAAATAGGATAGGCGGAAATGAGCTAAGGTTCCCGCGAGTGGGGAAGCGCGAGGTCAAAACTGGAGCCACGCCCCCGGGCCTGTTGCGCAGGAATAAAAAAAGGCGCAGTGGGGGTTTTGATGTGTGCGCTAGTGAGTGTGGTGAATGCCGCGGGCAGATGGCATTAGGGCCAGTACGTAGCGGCGCGAGCAAGCTCGCGGGACCTTGGGGTTTGGGTGTGAATGCGCACCAGCCCTCGTGGCGCCGGAGGTGGTGGGTGTGCGCAGGCGCGGTCCTTGGCGTGGGGGCGGGTGAGAGAGAGGGCGAGCGCGAGCGCGCGTGGGGGGGAGGG